GGAGGGAAGGTTTAAGTTGGACATCAGGAGGCGCTACTTCACGGTCAGGGCGGCTAGGGTCTGGAACCAGCTTCCAAGTGAGGTGGTGCAGGCTCCCACCCTGGGGGTTTTTAAGAGGAGGTTGGATGACCACCTTATTGGGGTCATTTGACCCCAGTGCTCTTCCTGCCATGGCAGGGGGTCGGACTAGATGATCTGCTCAGGTCCCTTCCGACCCTAGAAACTATGAAATGTAGGCCGTAGACTCTCAGCATCATTTCTAGGTCAAGCCCATAGTGAACAGCACTGGGGATGATGTAATTAGAAGCAGTCTGGTTGAATTATTTTTCCCCTGCTTGCAGTTCCTTTTTTAAATCTGTTGATTTAATCCTTTTTAGACACTTTATATTAAAATTGATGCAGATCAAAATGCTACCCTTATCAGTCTCATGTAAAACTAAATTAAATGGCTTACAAAATTCTCAATGTATTTAATGTCAGCATATTACTACTTACATTTTTGCTTGATAGCTCATCAACAAGATGATTTGTTTAGCAAGTTGTCTTCCATAAAACAGAGTTGATTTGTTTTAATTATGTTATCATTCTTGAATTGTTTACTGAATCATCAGCCTTTCTGTCTTTCATAAAGTATATGGGTACAGTGTTGCAATATATGTATCATTGCATTATTTTAAAGTAATGAATGTATCTGGGGTTGACTTTATTTTAAATGTTATAATTTGCAGGAGGACTTAATATGCATACACCATAGTCATCACATAGTGCTAGGAACAGTATATGCATGTAGCTTTCAGACTTTACTATGCATCTAAAAGAAAAAATCTACTTTACATTTTTTCTTTTTTGCTTTGTGGCTTTTTTCTGTAATAGGTGAGAAAAACAAGTCAGGCAGCATTGCTTGTTTTGTTGGAACAAGAACTTATTGAGAGGTATGATGTGGAGACCAAAGTGTGCCCAGTTCTTATAGAATTGACGGCCCCAGACAGCAATGATGATGTGAAGACTGAGGCAGTTGCTGTAAGTAAATCGGTGCAACTGCACTATTAAGTCTAAGGATTGAGAGCATGCTGTTATTATATAGGTATATAAGCATTTCAAAGACACTCCTTGATATGGTGCCCGAGAGATTCAAATGGTTGTCAGTAAACTAATCTATAGTATCATCTGCACTGTCTGACACCTAATCTAGGTCATGATTCAAATAAACTCCTTGTACATTCCCTAAAAGAAGAAAGTTCCAATAGGGCAAAACCATTCAGGAGATTGGGTAAGCTTTTTGAGAGAAAAAAGCTTACCCAGGTTACCTCAATCCTGGGTAAGCTTTTTGAGAGAATTATACTGGCGCATGCCCATGAGGGGCCAGCAGGGGAGGTTATGCTTAGGGGCAACCAACACAGGTTCATTAGAGGCAGGTCCTGTCAGACCAACCTGGTGGCCTTCTGTGACCAGGTCACAAAAACCTTAGATGCAGGGGTAGCAGTGGACATAGTCTTCACCCCATTCTCATTAAAAAAAACTAGGGGACTGTGATGTCGACACCTGCACAGTCAAATGGGTCGCTAACTGGCTGGAGGGCTGCACCCAGAGAGTGATGGTGGATGGGTCCTATTCGACCTGGAGGGATGTGGGCAGTGGGGGGTCCCCCAGGGCTCAGTTCTCGGGCCTGCACTGTTCAACATCTTCATCAGTGACGTGGATGAGTGGGTAAAAAGCACCCTGTTCAAATTTGCTGACGACACTAAGATGTGGGGGGATGTGGGCATGCTAGATGAGAGGCATAGGCTACAATCGGACCTAGACAGGTTACAGGGGTGGGCAGATGAGAACAGGATGGGATTCAACACTGACCAGTGCAAGGTGATGTACCTGGGGAGGAAGAACCAGCAGCATACATACAGGCTGGGGAACTCCCTTCTCGTCAGTACAGAGGCAGAAAAGGATCTTGGAATCACTATTGATGCCAAGATGAACATGGGCCAGCAGTGTGGAGATACAGTCAGGAAGGCCAACCATACCTTGTCATGCATCCACAGATGCATCTCAAGCAGGTCCAGGGAGATGATCCTCCCCCTCTATGCAACACTGGTCAGGCTGCAGTTGGAGCACTGTCCAGTTCTGGGCGCTGCACTTCAAGAGGGATGTGGACAACATGGAGAGGGTCCAGAGGAGGGCCACTTGCATGGTCAGGGGGCAGCAGGGCAGGCCCTACGAGGTGAGGCTAAGGGACCTGAATCTGTTCAGGATCCACAAGAGAAGGCTGAGGGGACATCTACTGGCCTGTTACAAACTAGTCAGAGGGGACCAGCAGGCACTGGGGGAGTCCCTGTTCCCCCGAGCGCTACCAGGAGTGACTAGAAATAACGGTCACAAGCTGGCAGAGGGTATATTCAGACTAGACATCAGGAGGTGCTACTTCACTGAGGGCGGCTAGGATCTGGAACCAACTTCCAGGCGAAGTCATGCTGGCTCCTACGTTGGGGGTCTTTAAGACAAGGCTAGACGAACATCTTGCTGGAATCGTTTGACCCGGGTACTTTTTCCTGCCATGGCAGGAGGTCGGACTTGTTGATCTGCTCAGGTCCCATCTGACCCTACCAACTATGAAACTATGATTAGTACTGTTACCTGGTAATGTTCCTGCTAGTTTGAGCTCTTGCTTACTGTTCTGTGTCACTTGCTTTTGTTTGTACTGTTCCCTTTTCAGTGGAAAGTTCTTGGTTCTTGGATTTTACTGACCTTTGCCTTGTTCTCTGTCCCACTACACCCATCTCTGGCTCTGTATAATTCTCAAAGATCATCTTGAATGAGTTCTATTATGTGAAATCTACTGTATTGAATGGACAAAATGAATTTAGTTGTTTGACCTGGGAATACGTACACTTACTGAAGTTTTAAAATTATGAATATTTTTGAAAAATAAAAGAACGATTGATTAAGCCATCTGGCAAGTTAATGAAATGCTGGACATAGTAAAAAGGCTCACCTTTTGTTAAGTGCATTGTAAACCTTTCCATTCTACTTTAACCATTTTTTATTCATATGCAGGAAGGGTTCTCATTAAACTGTTATTTAACCTGTAGCACCTAAAGCCAGGTTACTGGTTGTTTTCCTAGACACTATACTTGACATCCTTTTTTAAGCTTTAAATTTAAAAGTAAAGAGATGACACAGAGACGAGTAGTAAGAGTGTGAATAAAGCAGTAAATTGTTTTACAAAGTTTTTTTCATTGTATTGAAGTTGCAGTTTCTTTTTGATTCATCAGAAGTTCCCATCTTGAGCATCAGAACATAGAAATTTCAAAATTATAGGTAGTTTATTTCTGAAGAATAGTTTATTTTATCAGTCCCCTAGGAGAGCTATTCAGCTGCCTCCATTTTTCTTAAGAAAAAAATTGTTAGAAATCCGGAAA